AGGAATCAGCTGCCAGTCTTATGGGAGGTCCCTTGTAGGTAACTAACTTTCTCTTGCTGTTTTTAAAATTTTCTGTGTATTTAACCTTCGGCATTTTAATTATGATGTGTCCCGGTGTGGTCTTCTTTGGGTTCATCTTTTTTGGGACTCTCTGAGCTTCCTGGGGTTGTATATGTCTTTAGGGAAGTTTTCCATTGTTGTTTCTTCAAATAAGCTTTCAACTAACTTCTTGTTCTCCCTCTTCTCCTTCAGGTACCCCTATGATGCAATTACTTTGTTAAATTTTTTCCCATAAGCCCCTTAATTATCACATTTTCGGATTTCCTGCCATTCTGATCGGGTGCCCTCTGCTTCCCCGTCCTCTGTATCAGTAATTCGATCCCGTGCTTCATCTACTCTGTTGATTTCCTCTAATACACTCGTCACCTCAGATAATGAATTCTTTGTTTCTGAGCGGTTCCCTTTTGTAATTTCCATTTTTATGTTTTTTTAATCTCGTCGTTAAAGTTCTGAGTTCATCTACTCTGTCCCTAAGTTCTCTGAGCATCTTTATAACCAGCGTTTTGAATTCTGCATTGTGAGATTGCTCGACTCCATTATTCCTGGATCTCTGTTCTGTTCTGTCATACGGGACCTGCTTCTTTGTCTCCCCATCTTGGCTGCCTTTTTCTGTCTGTTTCTATGTACTAGGCAAAGCTCCTAAGTCTCCCGGCCTTATTAGCGTGGCTCTGTGTAGTAGCTGTCCGGTGGCACAGTCCTGAGAGGGGTTCGGCTGCAGGCCAAGTTTAGCCCCAGCCTGTGCCCCTACGGGGGCCACCTGTTAAGATTTAGCAAGCGAACCGCAGATGCTGTGCTTACAGTTGCCTCAAGAGGCCACGCCAGAAACCGAGGCCAGTCGCCACCAGTGTGAGTTTCACGCTCCTCGGCAAAGGGTACAGGACCAGCCAAGGACACTAGATGTGGCTTGGGTGGGGCCGCGAGTTGGGAGAGGCGGAGTTTCAGGGAATTCTCTGGGCGGAGGGACCTGTTATTCAGTTTGGTGACGTCTCAGCTATGGCGGCGCTGCGTCCGCGCACTGGCAGTGGGGACACCGCCGGCACTTCTGCCCAGGAGAGCACCTCGCCTCTGGCCCTCATTCCAACAATTCAGTGTCCCCCATAAAAGTCCCTGGTGCCCCCCGAGCAGCCGACCCGGTGCTGGTGCTCAGAGCAGCAGGTCCGTCACCGCGAAAGTGCGCTCATGGATGCGGCCCCTTTAAGAGGCGTCTGCCACTGCCACAGCCTCTGTCCCACTCGCTGCTGGGGACCCGGCAGCCCCGTGTCCTCTCGTCCTTGGCCCCTCCTCCCCGCTCCCGTTGCGGGGTGATTTAATGATTTCTCTCCCTAGTTGTAGGGCTTCTGTTCATCTAGACCCTAGGCGACTCTGCTTGCTGTTTTCTGTTTCTGTCACGAGACGCACAAAGCCTCTATCATCTACGCCATTTGCCCGGACTCCTGATTTCTGCTCTTAATTTTATTTGTCCTTTCCCTCTGCTCGTGTTGGGTTTAATCTGCTCGTCCTTTACTAGTTTCTTAATGTGGGCACTTAGATCACTGACACGAGACTTCCGTTTCCCTTTCTAATATAAACAGTTAATGCTGTACCTCTCCCCTCTACCGCTTTGCTACATTCTACAAATTTCAACGTGTTCTGTTTCCATTATCGATCAGCTGAAAATATTTTCTCATCTCTCGTCATTTCCTCTTTGACACTTGGGGTTATTTGTGTGTTGTTTCATTTCCAAATATTTGGGGAGATTCCAGAAACCTTTTTTTAAATTGATTTCTAGTTTAAATCCATTATGCACTGAATACATACTTCGTATGATTTACTATTATAATTTGTTAAGGTTTGTTTTATGGCTGAGAATCTAGTCTCCTTTGGTAAAAGTTCCACACGCACCAGAAAAGAATGTACACTGGCTGCTGGGGGAAGGTTCCTGAAGGGTCAGTGAGGTCAAATGGACTGCCAGTGGTGGTCAAGTTTTCCGTATACTTACTGATTTTCTGTCTATTAGGATAGTTTTAGATTTACGGAAAAATTACGAAAATGGTACAGAGAGTTCCCATAAAACCCATGCTGGGCGTGCCCTATTAATATATCAGTATATGTGCCACGATTAATGAACCAACACTGACACGAAAAATCTATAAATCCATGCTTTATTCAGATTTTCTTAATTTTTACCTAAAGTCCTTTCTCTGCTCTGGAATCCCCTCCAGATACCACACGGCATTTGGCTGTCATGTCTCCCGAGCTTCCTTCTGACTGTGACAGTTTCTTGGACTTTACTGTCAGGTATTTTGCAGAACATCCTTTGGTTGGGACTTGTCTTGTACTTTCCTCACGGTCATGGGTCTTTGAAAGGAAGACCACACAGGAAAAAATGCCATTTTTATTTCATCGTATCAAGGGTACAGACCATCAACATGACCCATCGCTGGCTGCTGGCGTTGGTTATCTGGCTGAGGGACCGTCAGGTTGCTCCGCGAGGTCACGGTCACTCCCTCCCCTGCACTGTCCTCTTCGGAAGGGAGTCGCGGTGCGCGGCCTGCACTTAGAGTGGGGGGCGTGCTCCTCCCCTGAGGAGTGAGGGTCTACAGGGACTACCCGGAGCCCCCCGCACAGGAGGTCTGTCTCTTCTCCCTTTACTCACTCAATTGTTTACTTACATGACTATGGGCTTAGATATTTTTTGTGTTGAGTTATAATACAATAACTGCTCTATTTTATTGTGGGAATTATTCCAGCTCTGGCCACTGGGAGTTCTTTTAGTTGGCTCCTGTGCCCCTCTGGTATAACCTCTTTCAATGGGTGGGTTTTTTGTTTTATTTTGTTTTTGAGTACTTTCTACTTTCTGCACTTCACGATGCTCCAGACAGGGGCTCTGGTTCCCTTGACCAGAGAACAGTGTCAGAACCCGGATCTGGGTGCTCACGCTCGTTCCTAACGGCATGTCATGTCGTTACTCCTCGGCCCTTGCAGCTCACTGTCTTCTTGGTTTAGCTCTTCACACTTCACGAGTAATTTCTAACATCCCTCACTGGGTCCTTCCTCGACAATGTCTGCGCGTGAAAGTGCCCCAGCTCCTCTAAGTCAGAAACTAATACGCACTAACTTCCACCTTCTCCTTATTTCCTGAGTTTTATTAAAGTGATCTGCAATTTATTCCATTTTTTTCAATCCTTTATTTGAATTATTCATCTTAACATTTAACTTCCACAGTCACTTTAATTTTTACATCCCTATCCATTTCATTTATCATCGTTCTTACCAACATATTTCCCTAAATTCTTCTCTAAGTTATTTTTCTGTTTTGCTTTGGGAAAGTCCATCTTCAAGTAATTTACCCCAGGAACAGACCATGTGCAACGCTGATGTCTCATGGGCTCAGAACGCCTCGTTCACCCTCACACACCAACAACAGTACTTCGGGGTCACCATCCTGCCCTGTTTTTCAGTATTTATTTAGCTTTCCAAATGCAACGCCCGGCAACCTGATTTGCTTTGTAGTTAACCCACTTTTTTTTTTCCTTATCCCTATATTTTTAAGACTTACTCTTTATCTTTGGGATTCAGAAATCTCATCAGGATAAGGTTAAAATCTATGAGTCCTTTTTTTTTTTTTTTTAAATATTTAATCTTTCTTAGTTTTACCAAACCTTTCTGGTCTGAAGATAAATTCCTTCAGGTCAGAAATTTCCTTCTATTACTTCTTTTATTGTATCTTCTGTTTGCAATAAGTTGTGCAATTATTTTGTTTCTCTCTTCTTTATGCAAAAATGTGTCATTTTTCTCAGAGTTATTCCTCTCTCAAGTCACAGTGCCACTTCACGTGCTTTTGAACCGTTTTAAGAGATGGCGCAATGGCCCGCAGCACGAGGGACTCGGTAACGGTCCCACACCACTTGATGAATACCTTAAGTTTTGGTTACATTATTTAAAATATGACTCACCAGGAAAGACACAGCCAAAATTACAGATACAATCCCAAAATTACAACATACTTGAGGCAGTGCTGCCACAATGCCCTCCGTTATCATTGGCCAAAGAGTAAACACGCCAGGAATAGAGATCAGGAATTTGAGAAGCAGGAGTTGGTAAGACTGTTATTTTGCTAGAAACCAACATCTAGAAACCTTAGGTGGCCAAAGTGTCCCACACCAACAGGAGACCTTCTCTGTCCTCTCCGTGTCCTCTGGTGGACGAGATGGATCCAATAGTGAGTAAGAAAATACAAATTCTAATCTCTAAACCACACATTGCTGACACATATACATACCTCTTCAAATCCTCATGCTCCAGGGAACAATGAGAAAACCCTGACAATTAATAAGTAGATCAGCACTGGACATGAACTATGAAGAATAACATGACAAACGTGAAATGGCCAGTCCAGAGGCACGCACATATTTCTGACTCTGAAACACTTACCACGAATTTCCCCTAAGACCTCCAGCCACCCACCTGCCCATTTTAAAGTGGCCTCACGAACTGCAGTGTCCAAAAAACACAACCCGAAGCCTCAGGCCGGCAGGTACAGGAAAGAATCAGAAGATGAACAGAGTCCCTGAATTGCCACCAACCAGGAACACCTATTTTCAATTTCTATGAGCAAGAGATAAGCTTCTTGGTGTGTTTGAGCCATCAGACATGTGTGTGATGTATTACAGTACTTACTACAGTAGCATTTTTGTAATTGCTATTTATTACAAAAACTCAAATGACCAGAATCCAAATACTGCCATAAATAGTGTTCACCAAACTGTACTTTTCAACTGCATCCCTAGGTATCACATCCGTGTAAAAATAACATATGGTTTACATAGCAGAAAAAGATTCAGAACCTGATATCCAAGGGCATGATATTGTAGCTTGTAACAGCAGCTCGACTCTCAGCTTTTAAAAAGTCTAAAAGCAAAACAGAACGACTCATTCTGAAAGGTAAAAGCAGAGCTTACGTTGGCCGCCGTGTCTCAAGTAGAGTCAGCAGTATCTGGATGGCACTGACAATGGCTGATTCATTTTTCTCCTTGTGGAAAATGTTTGATAGAAGCTGCTCTATGATTTCTTGCCTGGGGAAACAAATCAAGAGTCAAGTGCTAATGGTAACATCGCTTAACAGTAACGACTTCAGGGAAAAAGGTCCCGGCACCAGTAAGACGCGTATTATACAAACATTTGATATCACCTGGGCACGTTTGTTTCAACTTGAAAGTATTTTGTTTTTATACATTTATTAAAGTAGACAAGTGATCCTGCTTATTATAACTATACTCTCTCACACATATATTCCAAGCCCCTCTCCTCAGCAGACTCACTTGGGCCCTGCTGGCCTCTGCCCATCTTGTGGAGAGCCCCAAATATTTCAAGACTGTGTCACCGCCCACTCTGACCAGGTGGTTGTGGTGGCAGTGGCTGGGAGGCTAGGGTAGGGTAATAAGCCTCAGAACCCTTCACCCTCTCAAGAAAAGGAGGACTTTTCAAAAAGGCTAATTAGAACCCATAAATGTTTTCCCACAAAGGCATTAATGTATAATTAAAGACCTAAAACAGGTAAAAGAGAACATCAATTGTTACATTTTACTCTATAATTAAAATATGATAAACTGAAATAACATGAGAGCAATGATATGAATCGGAACTGCTGCCCGAAAGGATTCTGTGCAGGCCCTTCCCATTACACCTCTCAAGTACATACGCAAGGTCACGGTTAACCGAAAGCACTGGGATCATCTGTTAGATAAATTTATATGGACCCTCTCAAGGAAAACCTTCGTTTCTTAGGATCTCGGCAATTTTCAGAATCCATGTGGATTAAGAAATGGAATCTCTCTTACAATGTGACACACAGCTGGGTTGTCCTTGCTGCTCACCTGGCAGAGACGCCAGTCAGCCCAGGGTACAGTTGGGCTCACTGTGTCCTAACACCTGTTCCCTGCCAAGCTAGGGCAGCAACTAGGAAAGAATCTCTCTCTTTGGAGAAAGCACCCGAACCTGGTGTCTAAACTAACTTCAGAGGAACCCCCTGCCGGAAGGAGCTTTCAAGTCCTTCCAGACTGGCACTGAGACTGCTCTGAGCTCTCTCTCTGAGACGGCACTGTGACAGTCACTCCACACACAGTCTCCAGAGTGAACACTATGTCTGGGGCCGGACTCTGGAAGACAGAGCGAGCGCCTCTGTGCAGCGGACACGCGTCGTCTTCACACGGCGGCCTCGCCCAGGAGAGGGCCAATGCGGCGCCCAGCTGTGGACGTCCACCGTGTCACTCAGGCACAGTGTTCACACCAGACGGCGCGGTCACGCTGTCAGTACTGGTGCCTGAAGGGAGTGGCCAAAAAAGGCGCCCTCACTTCTTCATGGCTGCACCAAATTCAAAGTCTACTATATCACGAAAGTATTCTACTAATGAACAAAATCTGTATTAATAACCAGCAAAAGAGTAGCTGAGCCACATTGAGTCTTTAAAACAATAAGGCATTTGTTTACATGCGAGAGAAAACAGTGGTTTTCACATTTAAAAAAATAGGAGTTCTTGGATGAGCATCAGTAAAACTCCTGATGAGCTGTGTGATGCGTGTAGCCATCCAGGGTCTTTACCTACGCCTCTGAGACAACGGCTCGCTTCTGTTCTGTTTTTGTTTTTGACACGGGAAGTCAGGGGAAAGACTTCTATACAACTCAATGGCTCAACTGGGATCAAATCCGAATTCATTCGAAGTCCGTTAATGTTAAGAGTTAAGGACTGCACAGTCCAAGTCTAACATGCCTGTTTTTAAAGAAATTTTTGACCTTGAAAATTTCCCACAGAGCTGCTACTGAACACATCCAGGTTAAGCCCAGACCGCTTCCCAGGCTAACATTGCTGTCTAACGCTTCAGTCCACGTTCCCAGGGATGGGTGGGTACCCCCACCCATCTGCACCACCCACTTTAACTTCAGCTCATTTCAAGGTTTTCCTTAAGTGCTACCCTACACTTATATTTATGCATGTGGTGTCTACACACATGTGCACACACACAAAACCTGTGCCCTGTTTGGCATAGCATAAAGAGTTAGGTAACCGGTGTGTACACTACATATTGCCAGTAGATTGGCCTAATACATAACACTGGAGTTTTAGATAACTTATCAAACGCATAGAACGCTCCTATGATCCATAAGTTCACTGAGCTCACAGAAAGCTCACAGGCTTCCACCACAGAGTACTTCCTCTGCTAACAGACACTAAAAGAACCCCACAGAGTGGGAGCACATCTGATGTTTAAGGGGGTAGTTCTCATTCTTAGGAAGTGTGGAAACACCATCACAAAGTCTCCTCGCCACTGAGTGCAGCGAGGGTTCACCTCAGTGACGGCATGGAGCAGCGGACTCACATCCCTGTATCTGAAGAAACCAACTCCATCTAACAGTTAATGATGTCGATCTGAGCACGTACTGATCCGCATCAAATTACAGTCGCCTGAACCAGGACTAGAGACAGGCTGAAATGCATCAGCGGGGCCATGCGGGCGCCAACGGCTAGAGCCCCCATTTGGTTCACGCAGAGGTGTGTGAACAGAGACCGCGGTGGCACTGAAGAGCTCAGTGATCACCACCCATCGGTCGGACCCTCGGGGTGAAACTGTGACATCCGAGACGGGAACACGAGGGCGCCAACGGCTAGAGCCCCCATTTGGTTCACACAGAGGTGTGTGAACAGAGACCGCGGCGGCCCTGAAGAGCTCAGTTATCACCACCCATCATCGGTCGGCCCCTCGGGGTGAAACTGTGACATCCGAGACGGGAACCACGCACCACGGGTGGCTCCTAGGCATTCAAAAAGTAACCAGTCTGAACCCGCCTGGCGTTAAGAACACATGCTGGATTTCTAGAACTTTATCCACAGGAAAGAATGTGGAGTACAGGCATCGCTCAGCTAGGCATCCACGGGGACCGGTCCCAGGACCACCCCGCCCCCACGGCTACCAAACTGAGCCTACTGCGCTCAAACGGCAATCTCACACGGTTCACCCCAACACCACTGCGATTACTGGGATCTGAGCGTGAAACGCCTTCCACGTTACAAAAGAGTGCGTGTGCCGTAACGCCAGGAGTCACTGACGTGGGGCAAAGGAGCGTTTCGCTCAGGAGCTGATGAGCTCTTCGGTTCTGCCACTTGAGAGAACTGGTCAGCTCCTTCCTACTGGGAAGACACGAGTGCACTTCTCAGAGATGCCTTGTCTCTAATTTGTTCCTTGCTTCTGCCACACTTGCCAAGTAAATAATACACGTGAATGTTTATTTTAACGAAAGGGTCTCACAGTAGTTAAGCCAAAAGATGCAAAAGGGTCTCAATGTACAAGAGGACTGAAACGGGACTGAAAAAAATCGCTGAAAACAACAGTAGCAGTGAATTGAAGCAAGACTGCCGTGCGTACACAATGCTAACTGCATGCTCACGTTCCAGCTATTCATCCAAAGTGAGAGGATGCCTGCTTTATCTTCATGAAAATAACTCAGCTGTACAGATGCAGTCAAATGTATGCCTGTGCTTGATAATACTTCCTGAAAATGCACAAATCTAGAAAAACGAGTAAACGCGGGTGGGCCATTCAAAAATTTCAAAACAGCACACCATCCCCAAGCTGTCCTCCACCTAACCAGGAGATGGCGGTTCACTAGGAGGAATTACCTAGAAACTAAGGGCAGAAGCAGGACAAAGAAATGGAACACACATGACATGTACCCCTTCAAGTCAAGTCTGCCCAGGTACCCTTAGCTAGCTGCAAAGACACAGCGAGCCCTAAGAAAAGCTTCCGGTAAAAATCATTCATCAAAATAGATCAGACCGGTTTGTACATAACATGTTCTCCACCACAGACATGGAGGCAGGGAGTAAATTACGACGTCTACCCCTCTCGTGACGCTGTGCAGAATTCTAGTTAAGCGATTTGGAAAGTTTGAAGTCGACGTAGAAGCGTCAATTACCTATACTCTTCCCCTGGAGGTCGCTGGGCAGCACGAATGCCTGGGGTCGGATGAGCTCTCCTCCTCCTCACCCACTCCAGGGCAGTGTCTCCCAGAGGTGCAGCCCCGCAATGAGGAACACTTACCGACCGCTCCGCATGGGAACTCTGAACGGCATCACCATGAAAAAAGAACGAGAAGAGCATTTCGAACGTACTTTTCTAGAGTGGCGAGCAGAGGGTCTGGTTCTGTGCTGTTCTGAATTTGTAACATCTGGTCTCTGCTCAGGCGAACAATTTCACAAAGTGACTGGGACGCATTGGAATGCCGCTAAAGGGAAAAAAGTACAATTTTCACTATAAAATGCATGAGAAGTCAAATTTATAACAAAAAGGGAGAAAATGCTTAAGAAATAACACAAATTAATATTGGCCATAAACTGCAGTGAGGAAAAAGTCAAGCTCAAAAGAAATAACATGTAAAAAGCATGAGTATTTCATTCTGTCAGGCTAACGAGCTCTACTTATCAATACTGCACACTACAAAGTACACATCACTATTTGCGGGGAAATGTGATAAAAGCTTTGGCAAGGAAAAGTTTCTGTAACTGAACACTTGAAAAAAATATATTCTCCAAATATAAACTATTATCATCTGGAATACATCGACGGGTAAGAAAAAGTACATCTTTTCCGAGTGTACAGAGCGTTTACCTTAGAAAAAAGCTCTAACATCTCAGCGCACACACGCCATATTCTGTGGGCATGTGGCACTGAATGTGACCTGTGGCACAGGCAGAGCAATGATGTCCCAGCACAGGTGACGATGCAGACCGGTGTCAGAGCCCACTGACTGGAGTCAGGACCCCAACACCCCGTAGTCAACAGAAACCGGTCGGATGTCGGTGGCCTGTGATGAGCACTTTGTACAGAATGCAACTATCAACAGGACCGTCTAATGGGCAAAATTAAGTTTCTTGCAAGTCAAGTAAGGAATGTGCTGATGCCCCAAATGCTTTGTCCTTCACCAAAGAACTTGCTAGAGAGCTGGGCTTCTCCTGTGAGTTTTCCTGGCCCCTGCAGACAGGTGTAACACCCACTGGGTGACCGAGCTCTTCCGCACCAGAACATGATGGAGCAGCAAGCAAGCCTCATCCACAGGCACGTGCACCCTGGGAACGGGCGGGCCATGCTCTGCCATCACCTGACACGTGGACACGCCGGCATGTGTCCTCCATGTCCACAGCAACAACGCTGGGCTGTCCCGTGAGGAATGACGGGGAAGCAGAAGCCCCTTTGACAGCACTTTCTTTCTTCCTCTCTCTCTCCCTCTTCCCTCCTCCCTTCCCACCCTCCCCACAGAGGAAGGGGAGGGGCTACACCTACCTTAATAGAAAATTCAGCTTTATGAGAGAGAATATTCTCCGTCCTCCTTTGCACTGTTCCCCCATGATGCTCACTCTCCCATCTAACCTGCACCCTAGAATGTAAGGGAGGCCCCCCCTTCCCCTTGCCTCATGACAGACTCTGCACCTTCTGTAAACCAACTTCTCCACAGATATTAGGTTGAACAGCATGGAACTGTCATGTCTGTAGGTAGAAATGGTTGAATACTGGCAATTCCTCATGGCTCAGCCCCCTACTGAAGGTGGCAACAAGAGCAGCAGCAGCGAAGCCGAACGACAGCCTCCTCTAGAGCCACACCAGCTGACCCCGGCGACCCCGTACTGACAGACGGACCCTCAGCACAGGGCCCAATGTGCAATCTCCAAAGCAGTGTCAACCTTTAGCACCTAGGGCAAAGCCAAACCTTCCAGAGCACAAAAGCCTGGGCCAGGAAAGACGGCCACCAAGAGCCTGTCACTCTAGGGGTCCAATAGGGTCAAAAGTGACCAAGATCCCACCGTGCTGCTTAGAAAACTTTGGCCAAGATGCAAAGAACAAATGCAGGCGTGGCCACCCCACTTGGCTAAAGATGGGTATAAAGGAAAAGTGCTGTCGCCGGGGTTGTGTATGACGAAGACGAGCAGATCTGCACGACATCCCAGCTCCGCAACGGAGACGGTGCCAGGACTGGGGCTCGCTGCCTGCTGCTCGCCACATTTCTGGAAATTTGGGGGGTATCAGCAAACGCAGCCTTTCATGTTTAGAAAACTGTCAATTTTGAGACTGCCAGATTATCACCGTTCCAGCTGCCCTCTACCCTCACATCTCATACACGTATGCTCTGGGCCCAATGAACATGGTTGTTTTAAAAAAAATCAAGTTTACAGTAACACAAGAGAACTTACATCTTCTTCTTGCGATGGATGAACTATTTCCACAAGCCTCTGGATAATTTTCTCCTCATTCAACCACTGTAAAACACATTGTAGAAGCAATCATAGCAATGAGCGGCTCTCGTTCAAGCCCCAGTGAAGGTTAACATACTTGGAAATAGCCAGCACATTCTAAGCAGAATGTTGCAGGTTTCTCTGGACTTTGAACACTACAGGAAATTAAAAGTCCCCCAAGGAAAATGCCAGTGAATATATGATTTTAACAGCAGCCAGCAGCAACAACTCCTCCCCGACTTACGATACCCACATACAAAAATTCTATATATCGGCTCCTTAGCTGGGGGTAATTCTGGGACACTGAGCACTAAAAGGGCCTGTACTCTGGTTATTGGGAGGGGTGAGGAGTGGGGGTGGAATTTATACATTTTCTATAAAGGAATATTCACTTTAAAGAGAGCTACGGAAAGACTGACAAAAGCAGTGTTTAGTACCAAGTCTCTGGGTTAAAATGCACGTTGAACTTTTAGATTCCAAAACCAAAACAACCACAGGAAATGTGAAGAATAGGGGGTGGGGACACTACAGAAGCAGAGTTTATCTGCCCTGTCACATGTTGGCAAAGAGCTATTATTATGACAAGGACAATCACTCCTTCATCTACACGTGACACACTGCTGTAAATGAAACCGTGAAGTGGGTATTACGGAAGCACCAATGAAAACTCGGCTGGTGTAAGATCAGTTCCATGAGGAACGAGACACCATAATAAGGCACTGGCTACCGAGAAAGGACACGTGCACACCGTGGTCGGGTGTGCTGGGGGGCAAGAAACCCAATCCCAGTTGCTAAAGGCATGGGGAGAAAGCCTAACACCGGCTCCAGCTCCTGAGACAGGCCGAAGGAGAAGGCGAGGGAGCTGTGGGGCCGGGCCCAGCCCAGCCCAGCCCAGCCCGCAGCCCGCCCTGGGGGACCACCCCGCTGGGGCTGTCAAAGTGCAGAGGGCGGGGCAGGCTTAGGGAAGTCTAACGGGCTCTGGCTGACACACACAGAGCAGCAATGTCCCTAAAGCAGAGGATGGTGCCGCCTGCAAGTACGGGCCGCACTGGGCAGTCCCCCCACCCCACTGCCTCCACAGCTGGTGATGGGCGTGCACATCCCAGGTCCGCTTCTGGACTCCACCTCGCAGTGGCCCCCACACTGAAGTCAGTCCCTGAGGCGCTTCCAGCTACCCTTCCCCCAACAGTGCCGTGATGAACCACGCCCATCGCTGCACCTGAATTCAACGTGGAAGTGACCAAAGCGAGTCTAGAAATCTACGCTGAATAACCCTCTGCCACAGTCCAAATATGCAGGCGCCCCCCCGCCCCACACCTGCAAACACAGAAAAGGAGCCGGTGTCCCAACTCAGGGCCCTTCCGCAGGCAGCTCTCGGGACGCCCGCTGGGTCTGCTCTGCTGGTTTCCTCACAAGGACTCTGCCCTGCAGACACAGCCCCGACCCCAGGCCAGGACCATCCCGCGTGCAGCACGCACGCGTGCGCCCGCCCTGCCACTGCGGCCACTCCTGCCCACCTCAGCGGAGCTGCCCTTTCCCGGGACACCACCTGACAAGCCTCCTGTCTCTCCTGGTCCCTCAGCTCATTAATTAAAATTTGCATTTCCAGAGAAATGAGCAAGTCCTCAGGTTCGAGGCTGAGATGGAATGGACCGGGAAGGAGAAGACAAGGGGGCGGCAAAGATGAGTCTGTGGGGAACCTCGCCTTCAGGTCACTCCCACAGCCCTCTTCCCACCCGAATTCCAGCAAAGGCAGCTCCTCGAGAGACACACGAACCCTAAAATAACCATCTCCCCAAATTTAAAATATGTGCCCTCTGGAAGTAAACTGCTTCCTCCTTAGCCTGCGCTCCCGGCACCCACGAGAACGTTACCTCTGAAGCCTGATTCCCTGAAATGCCGACGCCTCTCCTTTCTGACTTTCAGGGGTGGCCCTGTAGCGCGACCGTCTTCTCGAGAAGCCTCAAAGCACACTCAGACGAGGTTCACAGTCCCAACCGTCTTATTCTGCTCTTATCACCTCACCAGCTTTGAGACAAATCCTCAGCCCACTCCACCCCGCCCCCCGCCCCCACTGGAAAACCAACCAGCAAAGAAAAAGACCCCAAAGGACAAAGACACACCCTAGGCCCCTGGGACGTGCTGCCTCAATCTTAATCCCGTGAAACCTGAGTCTCTTCCTATCTCCGAACAACCTTCTCCCCGACCCTCCGCCTTGCCCCCCAGTTTCCCAGCCAACCTTCTACCACCAAGCCCCGGGACACCCCCCAGCACAGCAGCCCACCCACCTGTCCCCACCATACTCCAAAACAGTCACAATTCTACTCACGTTCAGCACGTCCTGCCTGGGCTGCGGCGGCTCGATGCATGTCAGGAGCCTGAGCAACAAATCCATGATAGCTGACGTTCCTATGTGCTTTATAATAAGGTCGACAAAATCACGTTTCTTCTTTAAGAAATCCACAATCTAGAGGAGAAGAAGCCAAAGGTGAAAGACAAGCAACCGGGCACTTCAGAATGCTTCCGATCCTGACCCCCCAGCGGCCCCGCGCTCCCGAATCCCACCCCACTCTGAGGAGAGGAGAGGAAATGCTGAATTCGTAGTATTATGTCAATTTGGAAAGCCTGCTAATTTTTATAATATTCAACAATCCCTTAGGAAAAAATCTCCCAAATTATCTCACACTCCCAAATACAAATACACCATAACAGAATATTTCTCTTTTTACTTTCATTATTAATTCTCAGAGGATAATAAATTGCATACCCTGTGAAAAGCCAGACAATATACCATTTCAGTTTATATACATAAAGCAAGTCCATTAGACTTTGCACTAAAACCCAGAATATTCGAAATTCTAATTATATTCCATGGAGCAAGCAAGAGAAAATAATTCGAAACATAAGGATTTCTACATCACTCAAAATGACTAGCTCACCTGTTACACAGAAACATCACATCTGGACTTTACTTCACCTGATCAGATTCACACAAGGAGAGTGAGTGTGGGGGAGGCTGACCGTTACACCGTGGGGCTGTGACCATGGTAACACAATTAGAACCCTGCCCCGAGTGCCTTCTGCGTGGGAAGAAAAGGGGGACTGTCTGTCCTGTACGCCCTCGTGGGCCTTCTGATTCCTGTTGTCGGCACGAATGGTCTACTCACAGGCCCTGGAAGCAGCAGGCTGGCGAGGCAGCTGCTCTAACAGCCTCACTGAAGCCCGAGTGGGGGCTGCTTAACTCAGTGTAACAGATGAAGAAACTGAGGCTCAGACCAGTGAAGCATCTTGCTAGAAACTAAAAAGTGGCTGCCCTAAAATTTAAACTTAGATTTATATGTCTCAAAAGCCACAGTCCTGCCATTATTCGGCATAAAGAAATCTAATGGCCAGACGACGATGAAAACTGTTCCACACAACGATTAACCATCACGCATTGCTTCTCCAGACAATGAGGTTAAATGTTGTAATATAAACCTTCAAGAAATTATACATAATTAATCCGCTAGCAAATGAGTGACAAAATAGTTTTTGAAAGCACGGTAGAAGAGAGAAGAGGAAAAATCACATGTGCCCAAAATATTACGTAGTTTCAGTGGTAAAAGCACTCGATCTGGAGCCTAAACGCACAAATCGCAGCCAGTGTCGTGGACAGAGCACGATGTCCTGTGTAGAGGACAACCACTACCCGGGCACTAACTCGTCTGACACTGACGGGGCCCCGCAACTGGACCTCCTGCTCCGTATCGGCCGAGCCGGATGGAGTCTACGTTTTGTTCACTACTAGCAACTGCATGTCTCCTTACTAACACATCAAGTGAAGGGAAACCTTTATTTACACTCATCATTCTCGAAAAGATCGTGTGGCCTCTTCCTGCGGCTAATAAAACAAGGGCTGCTGAATCTGCTCGTTCTCATTCAAGGAGTCCTGAACCAAGAGGCACAACGAGCAGCAGAATGAAGGGGCCTCACCTTTACACAGATGACATGTCTGACCCTGGAGACCAATGCAAATCCTCAGAAACACTCATGACACTGAAAACCAGAGCCCACAACTTCGGGTTCCCCTCACACACAGTGAAGGGGAAAAGCATGATAAGTGTAAGGCCCGTTCGATAATGGCTACAACCATCTGGCACTGACTAAGTAACTCAGGCTGATGGGATGACTTGCACTTCCCAGTAACAGTGAGAAGTCCTGTTGTTTCTCGTTGGAAGAGAGAAGAGAGAAAGACGACCTGCATTATAGTAACCATAATTTGGGGAATATTATCTAAGAAAAAAAGAACCTCAATTCCAATATATTTAGGAAAGTAATCCTGCTCAATGAAGAACATGAAAGAATGACCTCATCTTTCTAAAATAAAACCTGTATTCACTTCACCTTGGCACAAAATAGACGCACTGGGTTTAAAATAGTTCTAGTCCCTCCGTGTCCAAGGGCAAGGACGGGTCCTGGAGTCTACTCTCCCCTGTAAAGGGTGCCAGGCCGCTGAGTCTGGCCACCCACGCCTGTCAGCACACCCTTGCTCGCTGCACTCTGGCAGGGCTGTTAGTTTGGACTTGGGCACCTGAGGCTCCCTCTCCATGCTCCCTGGCTGCCGGTCTCCATAGAGACCAGACCTCCTGGCAAGCAGCCCCTTTCACACCGAAGTCCACTAGAGCAGTGGTCATCTGGGAGACCTGCTAACGCCTCAGCCTGCTGAGCCCTAGCCCCGGGGCGCTTCCCACGAATCCTCAGTGGGGTAACCGCGCTGCTGCTGTCCAGGGCTGCACTGAGAACCACACACGCAACAGCTGCTTGGAAAATCACTTCCAAGCACAGCCGAACTGTTTAAGAACCAAGCAAAGCGGGGAGGGGGAAGAAAAAGGAGGAAGAGAGGGAAGAGGCAGGGGACGTCGGGGCCATGACAGGCAGGCTCGGGATTCTCCCAAGCACTCCTAGAGCAGAGCTACATCTATACCCAGATGTCTCAAGCTCCACATTTAAGTTGTCTTCCAGCCCCTATTCATCCCTCTTTATTTTTTTTTTGGACTCAGGAAAATTTATTTATTTATTTTATTTTCAATTAGAGTTGACATTCGATACTATTTTATATGTTTCAGATGTACAGCATAGCAGTTAGATATTTATATAATTTGCGAAGTGATCCCCGCTATTAGTCTAATACCCACCTGGCAGCACCATACAGTTACTACAATATTAATGACAGTATCCCGTATGCTGTGCTTTACATCCCCATGGCTGTTTTGTAATTACTTCTTAATCCCTTTACCTTTTCTATCCATCTGGCAACCATCAGTTTGTCTCTGTGTCTATAGCTGGTTGTTTCGTTTCCTTGTTTATTTTGTTCTTTAGATCCCATATATAATAAAATTTAAGTTTTTGAGTGGAATCGCAATAGAAACAATCATCATCTGTATAAACCAACCATCAATTACACTTACAGGGAAGCTTTTTGATTTAACCTTCATCTGTAATCACCATTAAAGGAAAAGAAAAACATAAACTATTGCTTTACACACTCACTCAGACTCCACTCGCACACCCAGCTGCTCGGTGTGCACCGTAACGCCGCCACTGACACCAGCGTTCTCACACTTCTAACCACTTGTCATGAGAAACCACAGAATGCGAAAGCACTGAGACGTGAGGCACTCAGACAGGAATATGGCACATTAGAACATATTCCTTAATGTCTAACTCAGTGTTAAGCCAGAGAGCATCTGGAATATATAAGGTTTAAAACATATTCTTTTAGAGAAGCTGGACTTCAGGCGCGCTCAGAACACTGAAGTCACGAGATGGCTGGGGATCATCTCGGGGGATGATCAGCCCTAATACTTACCTGTGGAAAACAATATTTACCTGTTCTGGTTTTCTGCTGATAAGAATACTTAGCACCTTGCTGAAGAAACTGGCAAGTAGTGGGTTCAAGGGGGGATCGTTTAGGAGGAAGCTATACAATTTCAGGAGCAAGGATTCATCTTCCCCCAGTCTATCATTCATCTGGGAGACATCGGAAGTGAGCAACTCACAAGAAATATTTGGGTACCTAGAAGAATAGGATATTTATATCATCATCTACATTAACAGTTTAATTACATAAAGTAAAACACAAATCAGAAAGCTTTCCTCAAATTTTGTGAGAAAAATAACAAAATTATCTTCTGGAAATTAGAAAATCATTTCAATCCATTCTGTCCAATCTCTAGATTAAAGTGAATTTTCTACTGTGTCTAAAAAATTGTTCCTAAACCATGCTCTAACGAATGTATTTTCCCCAACAAAACTGGAGCACACCTAGGACGCAGGAGCACAGGGAGGCCCCGCAGCAGGGCGCAGGGCCTTCTCAGATGGGCGAGGTGTGGCAGGTAAAGGCCTCGGGCCGCAGCCATCAGCGGCCTACTCTGGCTCTGAAAGCGGCACAGCTGGTAGGACAACCACGGGGACGCTGGTTTCCAGGAAACTCGCTGCACACAGCACCTTGTAACTGCTCAAGACACGTTTAGGTTCCCAGACCGGCCACCTCTATTTTCACATGGGCTGCAAATGGTACTAGAAATTGCATAAGGGGGGCCTTGTCAAATGTTCAGTCTTCATCACATCTTAAGAGAGTAAAGATTCTAATACACTGAAGTGGAGAACGGGCTGTCAGCCTGAGCGACTCGGTGGGAGGCGGTATGCAAAGGAATGAGCTCTCCACACCACCTTCCCTCCACCAGGCCTCGCCGCCATGGACACAGACCTCCTCCATACACCCCACAGTACTGGAATACCTGCACCCCTAAAGCTTGTTTACCCCTGAGCACCAGAGCTCACCCTCTGAAAAACACGAGTAGATCCACTTTCTCCACTCACTTCTCTGACCACAAACGACTTCTCGTCTGTTTTCAGCAGCAACAACTGAGCCTCCTCCGAGGCCCACGCAGACCACACTCCCCTCAAGCCACAGTTCAGTTCTCCGCTCTTTATTCCTCCCTGGAGAGCAGCCAGAATCCGGAACCATCTAGTCATTGGGAATGGCAAGCTCCAATGCTGACCAGGACAGGGAGGGGCGGAACAGCCAGAAGCGGCTGTAGGACGAGAGAGGTGAGGACGGTGGGCAGGAGCTTCCCACACCAGCACGCGGCTGCCCGTTTTGAGGCCCCGGACTGGTGAGGCCACTGGCCGCAGACAGAAAGCTACAGCACTGATAGGGTCTGGCATGAGGGCAACAGACTGAGCAGGAGGAGACTGTCACCAAATGAACCTTTGTACAGAGGGAAAAACTGAAAAGCAACAGAACTGGCAGGTGTGTGGGCACAAGGGCCACGTCACCAAAGGGCTGTCATCTGAAGGCGCGCGGCTCAGCAACTTAGCCTTCCTCACGTTATGAAACGGGTGGGCGTGAAGATGCCACAACATAAAGTCACCATCATGCCGGGGGCAGGATTAGCCAGTGGTTACAGGTGTGGCTTCTGGAGCCACACCATCGAGTTTCAGAACCTCTCTACCACTTCCAAGCTGTATGACCCTGGGCAAGTTAACCTCTCTGGGCCTCAGTTTCCAGGTCTGTAACATTAAGACAAGAGCCCTTACCTCATGAGGGAGAACAATACAACACAAAACACTGAGAAGAAGGCCTGGAATAAACGAACAGCTGGCTGTCTTTACTTCTCTTTATTTTCGAATTCACAGAGGTGCTGGCGTGCGGCCATGGGGCTGGGCAGGCGGCACGCTGTCTCGACTACCCCAATCTGAAAGTTGCTGGCAAATAAAGAGTCGGTAAAAGGCAGGAGACCTCAACCCCCGGGGGCAAGCCAAGTGTGTAGAAGACCTTGTCCAAATTTTGACACAGGAGGTCCAGGAGGGCACGGGCACCTTTTAAATTTTTTTACCTATTTTGTCACAGGTGACTCAGAAGTATGACGTAAAGAAGCATGAATATGGATCGTAGGCACCACACAAAAGGCTCAGAGTTCTGGTTCTGGACAGGCTGGGGCTACATTGTCCCTCCCTCCCTTACATTAAACAAGCTTCTGAAACACCCAGAGCCCCTCCGCTCCCCCTCGGCCAGGCCCCTCCTACGCTGCCACGCGCTGTGCCCTCACTTCCCCCCTTATGAGAACACAGAAGCAACCGGAGCGGAGGCCTGCACGTGGGCCCCTTCCTCCCCTCACAGCCCTGTTCCAACGCCACCCTCCACTCGTCCTCTTGGTCCCATTCCCTCCTGCCCACGCAAGCACAGGGCATCACTTGATCTCCTGCTCACCGACACCATCGTCTCTTCCCTCTATGCAGCGTCGTCTCACCAGCAAGTCAACACAAACCAGTTTCTTCCACCGAGGAACGAAACGCCACTCCTCTCCCGTCTCCACATCGGCCTGCGGTTCCCACTTTGTCCCTCTGCTCCCTTTCTAGGAAACTACTCGAAAGAAGTTTCTTGGCCTTGTCTCCAATTCTCTCTCAAAGGCGCTCCAGAGCCCATGTGCTCCACGGTGCACACACTGATGGTTACCGGCCCGCCAGCGGCAGCCCTGACCACTGCCCCGTCCCTCCCTCTGGCCCGTCTCCCCTCGGCCTCCAGCACGGCGGCTGCTCCGCGGCCCCTCCGCGGGAATCCTGACTAGCCAACCGCATGTCCGCTTTTGGGCTTATACTTCTACTTAAAGACCTATTTTTAAAGTTGTCATTAAAATTAAAAAGGTTACTGTAAAATGACCATTCTGTAACACGTATGTGATCACTAAATAAGTTGGAATAGCGACGCGTAATGCACACGTGTAATTAATATAGTTACGAAGTTCACAAAACACGGCAATCTCTACATCATCCTACAAAACTACAAAACGCTGCTCTAAATTTCCTTAAATGACTAGTCGGCCTTAACCCTGAAAAGCGTTCGGACCCCATCTGAAAAAGCGCTCTCATCCAATACCAACCCGACTGTCCGACTCCTCCAGCAGTTTACACAGGCCGGCCCAGCAGAGAACTGCTCTGCCCAGCTCGAGTCATGCTCCCTTGAAATGGTGCCATCCAGAAGGCTGTGTCCAGGGAGGCACACCTGTTTCTCGCAACCTCAGAGGTAGCACCAAAAGAAAAAAAGATAAAAGACCAAAAAAAAAAAAGAAAAGAAAGAAAAAGAAAAGAAAACCCCACAATGGCATGGCAATGCAACAAAGGCCACGCCCACTTCTGGGTAGAACAGTGCTTTCCACAAGGTGTGCCCCCCCACCCCCACCCGAGAGGTGCCAGCTTCATTCAGCACCTGGGAAACAGGCAGGCCCCAGAGGGCGAGTCCCCTGCTCAGCTTCCCAGAGCCTAAGAGGGAAGGACCACTCCCCTCCCAGGGGGCCTGATGCAAAGCCCACACCTCACCACCTCCTACAGGGTAAGCCCATGACACGCAGCACCCACGCATGCTGGTTCACTGCGATGGGAACTCCACAGTGTCTATCTTTTGCGGGATGGGAGCATGTTAGTGTTTCTGCTGCCAATTTCCTTCCCCCTTCTTTTCTAAGGCACTGATCTCTGAGCGGAGGCTGTCGCCGAATGCTAGCTGTCAATCTTCATGGCTGGCAGAGAATATGACTGCCTTGAAAATCCAACCACCGGTAACTTGAAAGCATTAATAAGTATTATTTCCCTGACAGCAAAATTCTCACATGAAGAAATAAAAAGATACCTAAAAAAAATGGACAGACTGGGGGAGAGAATACAAAAAGAATCTACTAAAAAACATAATTCTTCGTATTCCATTATCTAATGCAAAATCAGTTACTTTTTGTTCCATTTTTCGGGGGTGGGAGCAAACAGTTCAATGGAGTTAAAGATGGAAAAATAACTGAAACCCCAATACTTTAAATACGTATGGAATACTGCTAGTTTCCAAGGGTCTGTACACGATGTTATAGGAGACAGTGATAAAGGAGTCAGTCTCACTGTGCTAGCTCTCGGGCTGCTTGTAAGCAGATGGAGTCGGTGATGAGGACATAAACGCACTGCAGTCACCCACAGGGTCACCCACTGAAATTCAGCGACACTAACATTCACCAAGACCCACACACTTCTTTTCAGTTAACAGAAGGTCAGAATTTATTTTATCAGCGACACGCTTTATAACCCAAGCTCTCGCTTCGATTTGCTGCGATCTCAGGTAACCACATAATACTATCTTCCGATAAAAAACGATCTGCAAAGAAAGCACTTGGCCCGTGTCTTACTATTTTAAGAAACTTCATCGCTATTTATAAAGCACTCTGCCCTTCCACAAGACCTTCTGAGTGAAATACGGAACACTCGCTTTAAATCTCGTCATTTCACCGGGCCGGGCTCTCCACAGGAGCAGGCGCTCCACCGAGACGGGCGTCCCCACCATCCAAACGCCCTGTACAAGGTCTAGGGTTGTGTGGGGGCTGCGGGGCCACGAGACCGGACACCCTGCCCCACCTGGCTTCAGTCCCACCCTGAAGAGAAGATTGAATTTTCTTACTTGTATCTGATCTTTTCATCCATGTCTTGAGGTGGTTCTTCTATAATGAATGAGACTAAATCTTCGAGACATTCTGCTTTTAACAGAAACTCTATAAGTTTGCGGTTCTGAGCTTTACATTCCTGTAAAACATCTTCCTCATCCATTAACTCCTTCAGTGTTACATCTTCTTTTTCTAGAAGTGTGTCTATGTGGGATGATGAGTGAAGATCAAATTTCCAAAACATGCTGGTCTAAACAAAACGCAGAGAGTATTTCAAATAAAATTTCAAATTCACATATTAATTTTTCAAATTTCAGTTTAGTTTTAGTCTAAAATGCCATAAGTAAAATGAGTTTCACGTTGAACCGATAAAACACTTTCAAAATAAGTAAAATTAAGCAGGATTTTTCCCTTCTCAGAAAATATTTTTATTGATAACAGAAAATTGACTTGAAAATGCTGAAAGATGCTAAAACTTGGAATTTTAACCTGCAAAGTGATCCCATCCATACTTGGTTAAGAAGGGAAAGGAAGAAAGTAAACCATCTCTTCAGGGTGAAGGACACATTCTTACACAGAACTAGTATCTTTGGGACCTCAGTACCTAGTACTCTTCAGAATACTGCAGGACCAAACCAATCACCACCAACGACCAGCACTTTCACAGCCGAAAGTCTGAAAATCAGAAAATGGTCAAAAGCCTGTGCCGTTCCTAACAAAGAAACCAAAAAACTGGAACCTAATTCTTAAGAAATTCCTCAGTTACTAGGAAAAACACATGAGAAACAAAACCACCAGCCTAGAAAGCTGCGCGTGTGCTGCCCCTGCCCCTTCGTCCTACCCACTCCTCAACATGAAACCAGGGAGTTTGTTTTCTTCGAGTTACAGAGTTAAAGGAGGATGTGCCACAAATGGAAATATGAAACACAGGGTCTACATAATCTAAGGATGCCATGACGGGACAATCTCAAAGGCTACTTTTGACCAAAAGATCACAAAATGGTGAGAGTTCCGGTTAGGGAGGGACAGCATTCAAAAGATGGTCCTATCTGGCAAAGGTGCTCGCTCACTGCCTAATTCCTGAAGCAGGGTTTGGGAAGATACATACTTACATCCATGTAACTCCTAAATTGTAACCTGTAGATCAGCTGCAGCTTCACCATCCACCTAATGACTTGGCCCCTATCATCATCATCACCCCAAAGCATGTCACACATGCTCATTTAAAAGCCTGTGCTGTTAGAGCCTTGTTAAAAGAAACGCAGCCGCAAAGGTCGTAACCCACACAGAGCACACATGCGTTCTCACGTGTTTTGCTAAATCCACCCATATTAGGCGATCGGGGAGCAGCAGACCCTAACTTGATACTTCTGTGAATACATGTGTTCAGAAAAGTACTGTTTAAAATAGAGATCATGGAGGGCAATATTTCTTTCTGCTGCAAGCCAAACTGATCGGAATAAGAAAGAACCGTGTGTGCACCACGGCAGGCTACTCGACGGTGTGTAAATACACACCTACTTCACATGAGTTCACTCTTAAGTTTACGATCTCAGTCTTTCAAATAAAAGCAGAGTTTTAAGGAAGTTAAAGAAAAAATAAAGGACTCAAAAATAAAGAGAACAAGTTTCAGGTAAGGATATTACAAAATATGGTGCTATAGTAGCTGCCGAACAAAATCTTGAAACGTTTCCAAAGACACATAAAGCAACATGCTCACATCAGTGAGCAGCAACAGAACCAAGACCCGGATAGGGATGGGGAAGCCACCGTGAGGCGGGCCTACACCAGGCTGGCAACGCCCCACTAGGGAGAAGTGGCACGAAGCAGTGGCCCGCAACGTAAGGCCCAGCTGTCACTTCCTCTTTATGATCAGGCCAGTGATTAACCACAGAATATGCTAGAAAAGCAATGCCACAACCCCCAGCACAGTCAGCAACCACCCACACTACTAGGCTAACAGGGACCTCTCTGCTTCCAGACCAGGAACGGGCAGAGTGCCCGCGGGCACCGTAACGCCTCTGCTAGTGAAGGAAAGAAACATCCTTCAAACCCGAGAGCAGCCTACTTCCACTTCCAAGGCAGCTACTAGGGAACTAAGGAGATAATGGCAAAAGTGAAACACACACACGTAACACGAAAGTAAGTTTGGGGAAAAGGACAGTGGAAATAAATCTTACACATAAATGGTTTTTTGGTTTTCAATTTCGTGGAAAACGGCTAACAAACAAACAACACCTGCACTGTGCCATTTTATCCTAATAAAACTGACATGGAAAAAAAAAGACAAAAGATACCAACAAACTATAACTTCAGAGGAGGAAAGAAAAAAAGGTTTCCAATCCTACAAAGAGGAAGGAGAGAAGCCGTCCCTTGCTCGGAGCACAAAGTTAACGCTGTCAGCAGTCCACACGTTTCTGCTGGAGCAGCTTGGCTCATTTATCTGTGAGTGTTTTAAATCGTAGCTTCTAAAGAAAGCACACTTTACCACTCTTCCCCACACGCGGTGCCAAAGCTCAGGGTGACTGAAATAGCACCGTGCAGCGCCATGCCCCATGACCAGGGCACGGGTCCCGGGCCGGTTTAGACTCCACACGCACAGTGCCGTGTCTGAGGACAGCCCCCGGCACCACACGACCTCAGAGAGCCACGCCCCCGACAGCGCGCCCTGCCTTCAGGCGCTCACGGAAATTCTGACCCTAGGATGTGTGGTTACCGATTTGACAAAACAGTTCATTTTTTCTTATTTTAAATGTTTCAGTGGAGTCACTGGTTGAAACACTCCCAGGTGTGTTAAAACGTCTTCCCACCACCACTGGGTCGCTGTGTGTTTGTTCTGGTCTGTAAGTCAAATTCCTCATTAACTAATGGTCCTCTCCACTTGAAGTCAGAAAACTGGACGTAGTTAATAATTCAATCTGAAACCTTTTTAAAAGTTTTTATTTTTTATCTCATTTGTAATCCCATGGACAAAGATAAAGTATAATTAAAACTACTAAGAAATAAATCACAAAAAAGCAAATCTGGTATCAAGCCCTAACTCCTGGCTAATAATAAACAAGATTTACGCTTACATCCATCAAAAAGAAACTATAATGTCTACAAACTATAAAGTCATACTTCTACCCGACTTCCATAATGTTAATCTTATAAAGGAAACTCATTAAATACCGAATTTATAAAAAAAGCTGATAACCAGCAGTGATGACATAGGAGCAGGAACTGGCAAACTGCAGCCCACAGACCAAACCAGCCCACAGCCTGCAAGCTAAGAATGGTGTTGATATTTTTAAATGGTTGTTTTAGGAAAAGAGATGAACGAGTGACAGGGGCCATATGTGGCCCACAAAGCCTAAAATATTTATTCTCTGGTCCTTTAGAGAAAAGGTTTAGTGTCCCTTCCCTGGAACTTGGCTCGGCCGTCTCTGAACCCACCCTGGCCCTCACAGCTGCCCGGAAGGAGGGCCTACCCACCAGGCCCACCTTCCCCTCCTTAGGCACTCCTAGACCATGTTGCCAGCTTCTCGGGCAGGCAGGCATGGCCACATGACAAAATTTTCTCCAGTGTGCCATGAACCATAAAAACCTCCACGTGTCCTCCCCTGCATCTGGGCGGTGACAAATAAGGCCCTAAGTGATAGAGCTGAAAACTGGAGGTACTTCTGTCCCCAGATCACCACAGGGAAGAAAGTTGCCAGCTGTCCAGGGGGCTGTCCTGGACACCTGGTCTATGTGATCCAGCAGTGTGCCTACCCGATCTACCAGCTCCTGTAACCCCCCGAGACCGTGACTTCATATTTTATCACACTTAATTAAACACAAGAAAAGGAATTCTTTAGCCACTACCTGAATCAGAACAGCATTTTTCAAGTCCGAACACTTTGAAATATACAGTGCCACAGTTCATTTTCTTTACATTGGGTACTGCAAACTTAAAAATAAAATATAACCACAGCAGACTCCTGAAACAAGCGTTATGTGTCTTATCTTTTAGCCAAACAGCAAACTGACTGGAAGCGAATGGAGCTGGCTTGGCCCTGGCTTCTATTTATGCCCTTTGAAGTAGAAGCAAGCTCGGGGTGAACTCACAGGTACAAAGATCAACTGCCCAGAGTCCCAAGGTAAACTGGAATTCTTTTAAAAAGTACAACTATTCTAAGATACTCAGAAAAACTGTAAGGAGTGAGAACTTCGACAGCTCATTTTTAGTAAACAAATACACCTAAGAATTCAAACCCTATCTATATCTTAATTAAGCAGCTCAAAAATAGGGTTTTCTCCAAAAAGGCTGAAGATTAGATGGCAGGTCACCAGGGAGCTACCCACCACTTGAAGCCACAGACGACGACCTCTGCTGCTTTGTACCTTCCCTGTAACTTAAGACACAAGTGAAAATTACCATCTTATGTGTGCAGAATAGAAGCAAGGGGTCCCTAACCCTAGTCACCTCAGGTCGACTGCTGTCATTAGAGGTCGTCCGCAACTACTGAAATACCACCCTTCTCAGTAGCCCAATCTGGGCCATGGTAACTTTAGTTCCCAGCAGGCAGGCAGTGACTCTGTTTCTGAACAAAAAGGTGCTACCCTGTCTCCACGACACAGGACTGGCACGACAATGCGAGAAGTATGACAAGAACCCCAGGCCCTCCGCCGAGCGTGCCAAGGCGCTGCGGGGAGAGCACATTCAACAGGGCCCCACCGTGGGTGGGCTTTCACCAAGTACACACTACGTCCCCCCAAACCCTGTGGGGACTACTGAGCATCTCAACAGGCCTGACTCCAAGCCGGCTCACTACTGGCCGGCCCTGAAGCCTGGGAAAGCTGCCTCACCTCTCCCAGCCTCAGGCCCCTCCCAGGTGGACTGGCTGGAAGGAGCCAATGAGAAAGGCCCAGACACGCGCTGGGACATACAGGGGCTCGGCGAACGGAAGCTACTGTGCAGTGCCTACCACTGAAGTCAGCGAGCTTCAGCCCAGTGCCGCTCAGACTTTCACGGGCACAGGGAACACCCAGGGGTCTTGTTAAAACGGTCTCCGACTCTGACACAGTAAACAGGGGGTCGGGCCCGAGCATCTCCAGTGAGCTCCCTGGTTGCTACCACTGCGGCCCTGGACTGAAGCCTCCGCCGACCATCTGTACCAAAGCACAGTAAGTAGCTCAAATAATTACGCAGCCATCAGAAACAGAGGAAAAGCGCACTATGCAAACGCGTGGCTGCGTTAATTCAGAAACCCCCTGTGGATGAGCTGA